TGGGCAGCAGAGTCCCATTAGTAATCGGAGGCAGCGCGTCCCATTTTTATGTCCCCACCAGGAGCGAATGAAAGCGCTCGCCATAATTTGTGACACAGCGCTACACATACATGGCTTGCATTTTATCGCCAGGACCACCAAATGCCAACATGGCAACATCTCATGCACCTTACGTGCATGCACCACGCACGTTGGTGGTGTATTTAGGTCCCTAAAACCCTGCCTTCTATGATTACACGTCGCCTCCTCCCCTCGTTGATCGTTTCATTGGCTAGAGTTGCTGCCTGCACATGCGCCTCCTGTTGCCCCGGTCCGCGTTTGTTGCTGATGTTGTTACAGGGTGGTATAGCTTCACCAGTGGCCCACTTTACCTTGGAGGCAGTTCCCTGCTCTCCCCGGCTAGAGGGGCACCCTAATCCATTCACCCCATCCGACTTCAGAGTGTACTCTTTGGGCTTGGCAACTCATCACCACCATCCAACCAAATCTAGCGGATCAACGGCGCCACAACTTAGTTCCTGGTCAGCTCGCAAGTTGATTTTATCACGTCCTACACCTTCCACAAGATGGGAGACCCCGGACACTCCGGGAGCAGAAGTCAGGCCTTAACCTCTGCCAGCCACCTGCCTTGCGTTTGTGTGTGTCTATCTATCCATCTACCTATCTACGTATCTATCTTAGTCTTTTTCTATCTACCTATCTATCTGTGGTGATGTGCTTATCCACGTGTGTATTATTGCGGACGACGCCGGTGTACATCTCCATTTGTCGTACGTACGTATGTACGTACGACGCGCATCTGTCGTCCGGCGGCGTGTGTCGTAATCATGCATAACATTATATTCACTGCTGCTGCGGTGGCAGCGGATTCGATCCAAAAGCCTCTTAAAATGTGGGCAGAGCGCCGTAGCGCATATTCATAGACATGTGTGTGCCGTACTGTATGTACTACAGCTACAGCTACTACACATGCACAAACGTAACCTGATAGCGTCCATGGCAACTGCAACTGATGACTCAGCATTACGTAAGGAAAGAACGTTCGTAATGAGCCACCTGTCGGCGACAACCACCCGCCGTTACCTACGTCATCATGGGCCCACACGGCGGACCGACTTTGGGTTGGTTGCTGTCTCATCAGCTCACTCATTGCCCACTCCCACTCCCACTCCCGCCGCACGCCGTCCTTCTTGCCCACCCTCGCTCCCCGCCCGTCCCCGCTATCTTTATCCCCAAAGTAATATAATCGCCATCCAGCCGGCCCCCTGCCTTCAGCCGCACACGCATCAAACAAAGCGTCATCGGGACGGCGGATAATATACCGCCAAATACATACATATATACGTACGTTCATACATACATACATACATACATACACCTCCTGCGCTGAATCCCTTTACAACTCTTTCATTCCCCCCCCAGCACCCCCCACTGCGCTCCTTCCCGCCACAACACCAAAACACCGGTGCGAGACAGACAAGTTCGTTGCTACAACACCGCCAGCATCCGCCTGCCTGCCTGCCGCCTTTGCTACTGCTGCTGCTGCTGCTGCTACTGCCGCCTCCAGGTCCGCCAACGTGACGGTCCCAACCCCTTATTCATGAATGTGGCTCTTAGAGCCTTGGTTGGCCCTCGCAGGCCCCCTGACAATTGACACAGTTTGTGCGTGTAGCACGTATATGTATGTATATATGTTTATATGTACCCTCCCGTCGTGTAACATACTCACACCTGAGGCACACACCCGACATAACTACATACATACGTACATACACACACACGGGCGGCACACTCAACCTCCCGGCTTGCGCACAGCCAGGGCCTACCCGGCGGGTAAAATATTAATGTCGTACTACGGTACTAATACCGGCTCCCGTACACGCAATACCATCAACTACCGCAGTATATTGTCCTAGGTGGCACCGCCGCCGTCATCAACCTCCTGCGTCAACTCGAATGCCAATGCCGGGATACCAACCTCCCCTGCATTTAAACTGCCATGCGATTAACCCAAACAAGGACCTCCGGAAAAGTGTCGTACACGTAAACACCATACACTCACCCAGACTGCCTCACTCGTCCGTATGGTATCTGAAGTTTTGTCAACCGCCAACTAATAACGCGCAACTGCCGTATAACTTCCACCTCGAAACCACAAATGAAAAACTTCATGTTCTGACGTGCATGTCCGCGTATGTGTCTGTATATGTATATATGTGGCTCCGAAGCACCAAGTATTAGGTCTGATGTTGGGATACATACATACTGACGCCTCAGAGCATTTATAAGGCCCGCCGTCTAAACACGCCTGCGGGGCCAACTATATATACCACACCGTCCCATGGGTCACGTACTTTCGTCCCATGGGTCACCCATTTCCAACCCAACCAACTTAAACTGCCACTAACCGCCACACTCACATATCCGCATCGCCCCATGGGTAACCAACCGCACGTTACGACACCGCTGGCGGCTCATTGACCCGGTAGAAATTTACCTGGGCGCCAAACGCCATGGCAAAACACCCCTCCGCCACCGCCACACTGGAAGGGGAAGAGAAACTCGTGTACAAGGGCACCTGGCGAATGCGCAACAGCCCGCCGCCGGCCTCCACCTCCCCCGCCGCCGCCGCCACCGCCGCGCCGCCGACCTCACTGATCAACGTCAGGTGCGGTGCGTGTTCGAGTGCCGATACCACCGTACACAAGCCGCCCGCCGTGGTGTCCGGACGGCCGCCGTCCTCCGCGGCCATGTACGCTGCGTGTACGGAATACACCGCTTCGCCTGTACGGCAGTTCCAGACGAACACCGACCCGGAGGCGCCGTCGCCGCGTGAGCCGGACGCGAGGACGCGTCCCAATGGGCCCCACACTAACCGCCCAACCGCCTCTTTATGACCTGATAAAACCGCCAACTGTTTTCCACCGCCGACGTCCCATAGTCGTACGGAATAGTCGGCGCCGCCAGAGGCGAGGAGGCCGCCGTCGGAGGGGCAGAACGCAAGACGGAGTACGGCACCGGCGTGGCCTTTGAGGACGGCGGCGGCGCGGCCGGCGGCGCCGTCACCGACTGCCCAGATGCGAATGGCGCCGCTGTCGTCGCCCGAGGCGGCGACGGCGCCATCGGCGGCGAGCGCGACGGAGGTAACGGAGGCTGTGTGGCCGGTTAGGATTGACAGTTGCCGACCGTTGGTGGTTTGCCAGAGTCGTACTCGACAATCGTCGGAGGCGGAGGC